GAAAAACAGGTCAGCATCCTGGAAAATAAACTTCTTGCATCATTCCAACATAACTCAAAGGTGACAGAGGACAAATACTGACACATGAAAAGAATGGTAAGGGCCAACTCCAAGTTTTCTCCTAACTTTTCACTTGCAAGTCGTATGGAGACTGCAACTAATCCTCTCACGTACAGAGTCGCACCAGACAATGACAAATCAGAAGAGCCAGAAGCAGGCGCAAAAATAAATCTAGGGGGGCTGACATTGCAGCTGATTGAGAGTTGACCAGGCCTTGCAAATCAGGTGTGCGAGCTGAATCTCGATACAGAGATTTCTAGAGTCTGAAATTGTTGGCACCTCTCAATTTACCCAGGAAATGGAAAACGATGCGAAAATATTGAAATCTTGGACCCCCATTTCATCAGCACTTTGGAGGCTAAAATGGGGTTGGCCCCCAGGGGTCCTAGGTGATTTGGTATGCTCAGACGGCTGTCGTATATATATATATATATAGTAGTTGTCCATCGGTGCGCGGCCCGAGTTTGTTTAGGAAGAGTGAGAGAGGCATCATGGCTGATGTGCAAAAACCAGGGAAACCTTGTGAGCCAATGGACTGGAGATGTTTTTGGCCCTGGACGCCCCACACGTTACAATAGTCGGGATCCAAATGGGGCGACCTTCGAGCCGCGTCGACCGTTCCCCTCGTGCCTGGTCGCGCCGCGCGGAACTCAGCGCGTCGCGGTCTGGTCCCGCCGCGAGAGGCGCTCGAACCGATTCACTGGGCTGGAAGCTATGGTGGTGGCTTTACTGTTGCGAATATGACGCCTGGTGTGCAAGCTGCCGGTTTTGGGGGGGCCGGGGGTCCAAAAAGCGAATCTTCTTTCATGAGCGGAACGTCTTACGTTTCGCGGTTGAACGGAGTGGAGGTGGAAGAAAAGAAACACCTGACACCTGGCGTTGATTCCAAGTAGACGTTTTTGCGACCAAGTGGCAAGCTATTGTCAAGATGGCTCAAGCAGGTCGACCTTCATGGGCCTTGACATTCTTTCGATATTGATTTGATAAGGTGCTGTAGTATCAGTATGTATCAGTATGGGATCGTTTAAGTCCTTTTGATTCGATGCTATTGGTATTCATCCAGAAGGTCTTTCCACCCACCTTGAATGGCAATTCCATTGCTGTTTTCATGCACGAACCCACGTCCTTTCAGGACTTCTTGAATGCGAACCTAGATGCATTGCTGGACTGCTTCATCAAGGAGTACCAGGAACGGACCGCGTTGGGGGGGACCGAAATCTGGCGGCTCAAAGGCGGATTTCACTCCGACTGAGCAAACCCACCCAAAACCTGCTGGAACTTCCAGCTGCTTTCCCAAGACCAAGAGTACTGTCTGGTGCTCAGTTGAGCCTAAGGACACTGGCGTGTGTGGTTTGGGATCATGAGGGGCTCATGCTGCGGGCCACCATAATATGAAAGAAAGCTAAAACGCCTGGTTGCCGGGACTGGAGCTGTTTTTCAGACAGGAGTTCTGGCAAGCCAGAACTGCCTTTGGTGCACTTTGGGATGGCAACGGAAGCCTCCGCCTTCGTCACGGTCAAGCCAGTCCCGACGACACGACGGTGTCACATCAGAATCCGGCTCTTAGCACAAACGTCCGGGTGACCCGAAGGTCATATCCAAAGGCCACATGATTGATATCATGCTCGTGCTTGCTTGAGCATGCCGGGTGGAAACTGACACGTGACTTGCTCACATGACCGAGTAGCAAGCATTTCTACTATTCCTTGGTCCCCCAATTTGGCTGTTCGGATGTGCCTTCGGTGCTTTCTGCCACTGCCAGGCCAGTGGCGGCCCGCTCCTGGAGCGCAAGGAGCTCCGATGGCAATTTACGCTGAGCGCCCTGCAGCAGGGCGTCGGCCTGTTGGGCGCGGTGCCGCAGATCTACAAGATGTGCAAGAAGCCCGACGCCTGGCTGTTGGGACGGGACCAGTCGACGGATGAGTCGAAGACTCACGGGACGAGCCACGGGACGAGCCACTACCCGTTCGCGGTCGGAGGAACGAGGGAGCAGCCTGTGCTGATGGGGTGTTTCCGAGGGCCTAGCGAATCCATTTGACACTTGTGAGTGGTGGGAACAGGATGGGCCATATATAAATCAGATAAATTCATGAGTTTGGACGCTTGGAACTCGATAGCAATTGCGTATAGCATCGTATAGCTATCAAAAGGCCGGTTTCCTTGCCCTATGTTTGGTGACATGGCACATAAACTTACCTCAACTCTCCGAGTGTTCATCTCCGTGATCAGTTGTTTGGGTGTCTCGATCGCTTTCTCGCCTTGTTTTGCATGGGTGACTCCTTTCCAGCGAGGAAGACGTGGGGGACTAGAGATGCAAACATATTGCAAAAAGCAACAACGTGAGGGTTGACCGTTTCAGATCTGGTCATCAGTGCCTTGAGCGTCATGTGCAAGGACAGTATAGTAATATATAACATGCATTAAGTATACTAGCAGAAAAAGGGCCTAAAGGCATATTTGGGCCGAATTTCTCCAAATTGTTGGGATATCACTGGGCCTAAGTCCTAAGTCACATCAAATCGAAGGATTCATTTTTGCGAGCGAAGGTTTCTGTGGTGCATGGGCAGTGCTTGGGTGATGGACCGAGGAGTTTGCCAGTATCAAAGATCGGCTAGATCCACGCATTTCGCAAAACATCGATGGCAAGAACACCCTCAGGATCTACATTGGAACCTGGGCAGCTTTCAAATGGTTCAGGAGTGGTGGAGTCACAAGTCCTGGGAGGAAACGAGCTCCGAGCAACATGATTTTTGGGGGGGGTGGGAGCTTTCCCCCACCCAAATGCAATCCCCCTTTTTTGAACAATTGGACTCCGCTTATGAACGAATCTACAGAAATCCCAAGAAAGCACTTCACACGGCCAGTGTCCAGTGCCCTCTCCCATGGCCGTTGTTGTGTTTTTGTGCTCTCAGGAACCTTCATCAACATTTGCCACTCGGTGACATCTCGGTGACATCTCGTCTCATCCAGTGTGGGACGTGCTGAGTCTCACCCACGGCCCCGGTTTGGGGCCCGGTCACCGGTCTTCCGATCACATGCCGCAGAACACTGTCGCACGAGCCAGGCCGGTCGGATTGGGCATGCGTCGCCGTGACGCCCGGCCCCAGAGAAGTCCAAAAACCCAACTTGTGCCCCCCTTGAACACACCCACACACACACAGACACCAGCAGACCGCCCCAAGAATGACCACAAAATCCTGAGAACGACCACACAGCCATCATGAGACGTTGAGACCTGCAGGAAGTTGAACACTTGCTGCGGAACCCCCACGCTCTGGGCTGTTTAGGTCATATATAGCTAACACAGCACACCAAAGCCCAGAACACTCCCAGATAGCACACCTCTACTTCAAAACATTTAACATAGATGATAATGCACCGCCCAAAGCAAGGCCACACACATCTTCATACTTGCTGGACTTCAGAAGGGTGAGCCCCACAAGCACCGGCTTGCTTCATCCCCGCCCCACCGTTTCCACTGTCCACCGCCTGGCGGATTCACCATCCTCGAAGGAATCCCCGTCGGAGGGAACAGGTGTGAGCTGGGCACGCCGAAGACGCGGCATGACACGGCTATGATGTGGAAAAGACATGCGCAAAAAACGCAGTGAGGTAACATGATCAAAGACTGGGACATCGAGAGCCAGCTCGACCAGTGGGTGAAAGAGCTTTGTGGCAACATCGGCATTGCGGAGAAGAAGGTGTCCTGGGAGTGAGAGGCTTGCCCTGCCAAACGATTGAAAATGGCTAGGGCATCCGGAAGCCCTAGGCCCTAGGGCTCAGAAATTGGATGCCCTCAAATAAAGCCACGTCAGTGGAAAACATGACATCCCATGACCAGGGTCCATGTGGGGGTTTTGTTTATATTCTTTTGCCACTCACATCGGTGTTACTTGGAGCCTTGGGATTGGATAGTCGGAAAGGGCTGACATGCTGAACCCGCACGAGGCTCCTTCAGAGAGCCACCCCCATCAGGGTGTTCTTTTGCTTTGCCTTTCTCCCAGATCTCAGTATGAAAACGGCCATCTACTTGATTGAAAGTGGTTGAAAACACAAACGACTTGGTTGATTCTCTGGGCTGCATTCAATCATCGTCAATCCCAGCAGAGCTGCTTGTATGCCTGGCCTGCCGAAGCACAGGCCTAACAAAGCAGTTGATGGGATGGGGATTTGAGGGAATGACCCGTTTTGTAAAGGATTCCGTGGAGATGACGTTCGATATCGTCCGATCATTCCTTCAGTCCCTGGTCCCTCCATTCGCCAACTTTTTGCTCGGACCCCCAACTGCTAGGGCAAGTTGGGCTGCTGGTGTGGCAAGAGCCACAGGATTCCGAGCAGGGAAAGCGATCGTGCTCCGAAAGCGAGTTTTCTTCAGACACAGCGCGGTAAGGACTGTTTCATATGTGCATATTATTAGAAGTGTATAGAAGTGACGTGTAAGGTTATGAGGTAGTGCAGCCAGGCAGTCCCAAGCAGAAGGTGCTAAGAAAGGTGCTGAGAATAGCTTTTGAATCAATACAGTATCTACATTCTACAGGTATGTGTAGCAGTGTGATTCACCACTACAATGCTGGTGAGTTGTCCTTGTTGGACATGATTAAATCAACCCCATTTGGAGCACAGGGTTGAGGGAGATCCATTTGTTGGACGTCTTTGGCCTCACGTTTGGTTTGCTAAACCAGCCATGGCCCTTGGCAATGCTTGATACATGTTTTTTGATGTTTTTTGCTACGGGGTCGGGACTGTGCCAGGTCCAAGCACCAAGAAAAGCTGATGCACGACAGACCTTCGAGTGGACTCGTACGCAACACCACTGCCCCATGGCGGGACCCTCTTTCCCCCAGGCTCCGCTTTTGTGCGAATAACATCGAATAACTAATCCGTATCTAATTCTAATATATTCTAATTCTAATTGAATTATTGTTACTAGTAGTATGGCCAGGAGCCCCTAGTAGCGTCCTCAGGAGCCCCTACTAGCTTCTTGTTACTAGTAGGGATGCCCTTACACAAGCTATGGAGGAAAGGATCGGCGAACAGATTCAAGTCGATCTCTCAAAATTGACCGGTTGATCGGCAACATAATGTTTCGCATCGATTTGACCTTGGAGCTTTGCAGGCTCCAAATGTGGTTCTCCTGTTGGCTCCTTGCACTCCATGCAAGCACCCATGTCGCCACCTACAAATATCTACGAATTGTAGTTATTGTTCATTGCTTTTCTGGCGATCGCTTGGTCTTTGAGAGATTTTCCAGCCGCCAAGCGACCGCGCCTGCCATCTTCGCATGAAAATAAAGTCGGATGCCAGTGGACCTGAAGGGGGGGTGCATGGATGGACGAAGCGAAGGCGCTAATGGATGGACTGTGGAACCCACAGCAAAACAATCACATTATTCCCGAATAGAACCGACTGGAAGATATAATAGTATAGTATAATCAAGTAATTAGTCAAAGGTTGTCCACCAGAACCTTTCCAGTGACCTGAAACCACTGGATCAAGCTCGGTCACTGGGAACCTGGCATGTCTTTTGTGGGCCCTTGTTCTATCGAATTCTCTTGTGGTCACGTCAGTCAGTTTGTCTTCTTCGCTCGTGCCACCAAATCGGGCGCTTGTTCTTGCCTGCGTCGACGCACCACACCGCAGGCACAGAGGCCAAAGCAGCCCAGTGCGTCCAAGCCTGAGATAGCTGGAACTTCCGAACTTCTCCAGTTCGATGTTGGCACAGAAATGGACACTGCCAGACACGACCTGTCTGGGACTGCCAGAACATGCCATCCCAGGAAGACCCCTTAGGACTACCACCCCTGGCCTGATCGGTAGTCAATGGCAGCTCCCATGTGTCGTGTCTGGGAATGATATACTTCTTGGAGTCGTCTGGCACGTCTGACTGTTCCTTACAGTTGGACCTCAGCCGGGTAGGAAGGCAAGGAAGGCAGACCGGACCTGTTGGGCGTTTGCGACGACTTGCAGCGTATCAACACCCAGCCAGGTAGAACACGGGACCTGTTGGGGGTGCTTCGGTTGAAACACGACATGAATTGCTTGGGCACGGCGGTTGATATTGGCAATCCGAACGTTTGAACGGTTATATAATGTCCTTTACAACGTTATTGAATTGGTTGCGACATGTTGCTACTGAACCTAGCACGGGGATGCAGCAAAAGCACCTGCAGCTTATTCTTGTGAGCCAGGACAAGCCACCTTACCCGGTGTTGCAGATGTTTTCCCCAGAAATTGGTGGGATTGCCATTTATCCAGCAGAGAAACCAGAGAAGCACGAGGAGTCTTCAAAAAGATTCGATTAGCATGACCTGCTCGCATGTGACCTGCCCCTTCTCGTGCACCCCTGCCCCAATCCGTTGACGATCTAAAACAGAAAATCCCGCGATCATCCGGCATGGCTAAACCTCTCCTGGAGCACTGGTCTGGAGTACTGCAAACCTCTCCCGCCGCCGCCACGTTCGAAGCACGACCACTTTCGGCACCTCCGACCTCGCAGGGCCAGTTCCGGCACATCAGACCTCGACCGCCGCTCGCTTGGCTTTGTCTGTGGGGCGGCTTTAGGATCCCAGCGTGAGGAATCCAAGCGAAGGGAGAGAAGAGAACACGAAGACAGGTGCTACCTATGTTGCTTTATGTTGCTTTGAATGGATGACTGGCGTTTGCAGCACCGACCAGGCAGGTATATAAATAGGATGTAATAGGCCCACTGGATCGATATGAAGACCGGTCCCTGTCCCCATGGGCCTTTTGGTTTTGGGCGGACACGGAGTGCTTGACGTGTCCAGGCTGACGGATACTGGGATTGTCCCATAGTCGTCAGACTTCAGAGCTATAGTTAGTCCAGGAGTGGTGAAACAACTCTCGAATCTCCTGGTGCTTTGTGGCATACGCTTTCCAAGAACAATAACTTACCAGGACCTTCAAAGTGACCTTTTTGAGATCCCAGAATGAGGTCACTTAGTCCCTGAAGGGGTCACTTACAGATTCCAAAGAGGTCACTTTGAAGGTCCTGGTAAATAGCCATATATATATATATATATATTTAGGCTCGTCAAGGAGGTCTCAGTGAACATGCAAAACGTAGATAGGCCTGGATGATGGGTCAAAACACCAAAACCACAGGAGCCAAGAGATCTGTCTTTGCAGATGTGGGGCTGCCGGGTTCGGTCGTCCCTCTCCCTCAGTTGCGACTCGACTTGCTCCGCTCTTCCCAGGGATGGTGGAGACTTACCAGATGGGCAAAAGTCCTCCACAACCACCTCCGGGCCGCCCGAAAGAGGCCCCCATTCAGGCGGGGTCGACGGCAGACGGACGTCGAGAACGAGGTCCCAAGACTGGGAAGGGCTGTGTTCCTAGGAGCGCCTAGTAGCTTCTTGTTCCTAGTAGTAAGGCCAGGAGCCCCTAGTGGCGTGTAGCGATGCCAGGAGCCCCTAGTAATTAGCTTCCTGTACATTGTACATGTGGGAAATAGATGGAGCGGTATGGAACAAGAGGTTTCTGATTACGGCCTGCTTGACCGGACACTGAAAGGACCCACAAGCATTTCCGCAGAACTGGGATGAGGTACCTTTATAGAGTCTAGAGCACTCTAGAACCTGGTTTGGGGATAGACGATATAGACGCTGGTGCCATGGTTTGATGGGCGCAAGGGTGCCGTTCCTGACCAAAGTCAGCAGCCCAGAAGCCAAGATCTTCAACGAAAACCTTGTGCTCCAAGGGAAGATGAAGAACTCCTTTGGTTCTTCGACCATACATCTCATGCTGGTCCCCCAAACTAGACATTCATGTCACATGTCCAATACTCTTTGGGTCTAGACCTACGCGGGCTGGGGGAGACAGTATAGGCGAGCCAGGATGAGCCAGGCGAGCCACATCACCCCACCGGCCACGGCGCAGCCACAGGCGCGCGTGGGCAAGGCCAAGCTGCCGCAGCCCCTGGGCCTCCGCGCGGCC